TAGATGTGAGCAAGCCACACAAATATCCCCAATTTGCTTGCCTCACATGACCCCAGGTGGCCCTATGGGGCCCAGCAGCCCATCACTGCCAGTCATCTTCCAGCTGTTATTTGATTTGGGGCTGAGAAGGGTATAAGTGAGGGAACGGTAGTAGAGTTCTTGCTTGAGTTTTTTTTACTCTAAGCGGTATATGATGGTTGGGCAGCAGAAAGTCTTGCTAACCTGAGATTATAACCTAAAAATATTGCAGTCTCTTGGGATGTCACTTAGAATGCTAAGGCAGCCCTGAGGGCTGAACGGGACAGCATAGGTGTGACGGTGAATTTCCATACTTGCACTAACAAGATTCCTTATTCCCTCATGTGGCGTACTGATATATCGTAAGAACTGAAATAATTGGGCATCGCGCTAAGGGGTTAAAATAAGGTGAGGCATGGACAGATCGGCGAAATACGAGTGACTCAACACATGAGACAAGTACACGGGCCCATGATTTTGACTTCAACTCATCAAAACATGAGAATGAGTTGAATGGAAAAAACAGAAAAAAAACAAAAAATAGATTGAAAGTATAGATAAATAGATGTAAAATAGTAATAAATGAATAGACACTGCACTTCAAATCTAAATTGGTGAAGTGAGATAACAGCGACATCAAAGTGGCAAAAAACAGAAGAAACTTGAAACCAAACTCCAATACAAAATGCCTCCAAAGCGCGCCGGAAGAACCAAGATAAAGCCAGTCTTAGAACCCCTTCCCGCAGATAGATTCTATGTGGGAGTAAAAAAGAAGTCAGGCCCGGTAAGAAAGAAGCTTGCAGAGAGGTTGCGGGCTCCACCAAAGCGTGTCGACAATCCCTATCGATTATACACCGTTAGCTACAAACTTCGTGTATTATCATATTGGAGAACACCATTCATACCTATAAGTCCAACCCAGCTTCGGAAGCCAACCCATTCAGAGGTTGCCAAACAGTTCAAGATCCCAGGCACAAATCTTTACCGGTGGAAGAAGGAGGAGGAGAAGGGGAAGTATAAAGACCTGACAAGAAGTCAGTATAGAGTAACTGGAGGGGGAAGAAAAAGAAAATGGATGTTGATGGAGAGTGAGTTGTACGATCAGTTTCGGGTTTGGAGAGCGGAGGGAGGCTTCATTAGAAGAGGATGGTTTCGCCGTGTCAGTAAAGAGATTTTTCAATCAACATATCCAGGGGAACCACTTACCAACTTTCGATTCTCAAATGGCTGGTTTCGTGGATTTCTTCGGTGGCATCGCATATCCCTAAGAGTAGTGACAAATAAGTCCAGTCAGCTTCCCACCAATTTCACCGAAGCAATCCTAAGTTGGATGCAGTTCAACAGACGAAATTTCCAGCTGCGACCAGATGATCGTCGAGGATTGGGAGACATACCTGCAGATGTTGGCCGCTTTCGCTTAGCCAACATCTGTAATATGGATCAGACACTACTACCCTTCGAGTATCTCGAAGGGCAGACATATAACAGTACTGGTGAACGAACTATATGGGTGCAAGGAAGTCAGTCAGGCTGGAATAAGCGTCAGGGAACTATACAACTTACAGTATTTTCTGATGGTGTTCCACGAGTAAAACTCTTGATTTTTTTCTGAGGCTAAGGTATAGGCCTCAGTATCGTGAAGGAAAAGCAGCAGTACGATCCCCATGTCATAGTCAAGTTCAATCCAAAGGCATATGCCAACGAAGAGAACCTTCTTGAGTGGCTGGAAGAGCAGCTGGTACCCGTTCTCGAGAATCAGCCAACGCTATTAGTCCTCGACCTCTTTGGAGCGCATAAAACTCAGGAGGTACTAGATACCTTTCTGGCCAACGATATTACTGTTAGCCTAATTCCTGGTGGCTGTACCTCATTGGTACAGCCATTAGATGTTAGTATAAACCGTCCCTTTAAAGATATATTAAAGGTAGGAAATAACTTACCACTTATCCCAGGGAATTGTTATGAACATAAAAAGAACTGAAAACCAGAAACTAACAGTTAATTTGTCAATAGGAAGCACTAGAAGAGAAGTTAGACAAGATTGAATCAGAAGAGGAAGCAATTCTTGCTTCTGGAGGCCAACTAACGGGCAGCATGGTTGGAAGAAGGAGGATTCTGACCACATGGGCAGTAGGCGAAGCCTGGGAGATCTTTACCCAAGAGCGGGTTGAGGTTATTAAAAAATCCTTTCGTGTACTTGGGTTAGCTTTGCCAATTGATGGCACACATGACCAAGAAATTAGTATCAAGGGGTTAGATAGTACTTACCTTCAAGAGGGCATAAAGGAGTGGGGAAGGCAGGAAAGTATACCGCTAGAAACTAAGTTTGATGATGATCCTGTAGAGATAGCTGAGGTTGACGATGATGAGGAAGGTGTATACTATGAAGAATTATATTAGCATAATCTGAAACCCATATTGCGCCAGAATCTTGGCATGACTAACCTTATTTTCACCTCTTAGCGTGATGCCCAATTATTTCGGTTCTTACGGTATGCTAAGGAAAAAAAAAAACTATCCAATTATGACTCGTCACATGTGGGTCACATGACCAAGACACCTATGACTCATAGGATGAGATAACGTATTATTCGAAAAATTCTCAATTCAATTTTTACACCAAAATTTGCCGAATCCCATTGCCTTTTTGGGGCCACAGATTGGGTCTCCATGATAAACCATCGAAAGCAAAAAGGTTTCGTCACCTGAATCGCCGCCACATATTGGCTAGAATAAACTATCATAGATCCCGCGGGTTCTCCCTCTTGTATGAGTGTGCCTAATTCCCCGTTATTTCGGCTGTAGGAAATAAGGCCATGACGGTTGATGGGATCAAGAAGGCATATGCCAAGCAATCCCTGAGGTTGCCCCTGAACCCAACCTAATCTATCCCAGCAACATTTACGTTCGCACAGCTAGGGATAATCTTTCTATGGGGTTTTGTTAATGTGACTTAGTAATACTTGTAGGGCTATGGTAGATGCGGAGGTTGTGAATGAAGCATCAGTCCCTCTACCCGCCGCACTATCAGGCTCACTACTCGTACATATGAGGCCATAAGACGTCATTAGCCGAATGTACTTCATTTAGTGTGTTGGATATAGGCGCAAAGTTAGGCTTAGTCACCCAACTGGACCGCTTGTCAAGGTGGAGCGGGTTTCCCATGCACCAGAGGAAGGAGCTTCTTAAATAACTGTGGCACTGTTGCTCTCATATCTCCACCTCTTCCCTCCCATTCCACGGCAGCTAAGGTTACCTCCGCCTTCCTTCTTGCTGCCCAAACTCCTGCCTCTACTTACTTTGTTTTCGCTCCAGACAAACTTCCCGAAAATACTGGATCCCCGACGCCACCATCTCCCCCTTCTAACATAGGGTTTATTCGTCTTACAGACGAGTACCGTACTATTTTGTCACTAGGTTCCTTACTATCATACTAGCCTCGCTTAATAATTGGTCTCTCCACTATGACACCGGTAGTCTTTTCTTCGCCACTCCTTTCGTCGTTAGACCACCGTTACACTTGACTTTTCTCATCCCACCTCGTCCATGTCATAACTTCTCAACAGTACCCTATTCAACAATGAAACCCCCCTTCTCTCCTAGCTTGTAATTCTTATTCTTCTTTTTGTTTTGTTTCCTCCCGGTCTTCCCACAGGATTCAGAGATCTGTTTTCTTTCTCGTTTTCTCTTTTGTGTTGATCATAAACCCATCCTAGTGCCGAAAGTAGACAATGAAACCTCATTCCCTCTCCCTCTCACGACCAACAACTGCAGATCCTGGTAATTTCTGTAACAGAAAATATACCTAGGTGCAGGAATAAGTTTGCGCAACAGGTGTAGATAAATTTAGTTTGGCGGTCTGGTGGCGGTAGAATTAGTGCAACGTTGAGGAAACCAAAAGAAGAGAGTCACAAAACGGCTTTCGATCAATAATCTCCAGTTATAATGCTTGCCACATATCCCCCACACAAGCGAAAGGTTCGAAAACCCAGAACCTTGGAAAACCCACGGGCTGTAGTTACTCAAGATCCCCGCAGAAAGTGGGGAGCATTAGGAGAGCAGGGTCAAATAGACCCTGATTCTTCGGAAGAAGAGGAGTGGTAGAATCGATTTCGGTGGGTAATCAATATGAACTTAAATATTAAAAATATAGATTAAGTGACTGGAAAGAGGGTTTTTTGTGGGGGCTTTTCGGCTAGACTTTTAGTATTTCTTCGTCGACTTGACTGTATGGGTCTCTATTGTCGTAGGTTCTCTTGAGCCGAGGTATAATACTATACAACCGTAGCCACGGCGGAATATATTACACTCTACCACTTTTTTTTTCCTTCCTATAGAGTGCCCGTAGTTCCCAAAAACTTGGATTGTGCTGGAGAGTTTCTGACGTTATAGCGGTTTTCTAAAGTCGCCAGAAAGTGATCCCACATCCTTGTGTCTGGAATTCGGTAGTCTACGCAAAGCTTCATGCCTATGATACCCAGTGGTCAGTTATCCCATAGGAGAAATCTTTCTTGGCATCCCATTCTAGACTCTTTAAAAACGCCTATGTATGGTAGTACCTGTCCAACTGGAGTTCAGAGCAGGTCTTTTTTTACTCGGTTTTACTGTTTTTGCCACTTGAGTGGTCCTGTACGGTATTAGCTTTTTATTGTTATTTATTGAAAGCCACACTGGGTCCCTGAATTGAGTTCCCAAATACCATTTCGATTTCCTACCCTTGAATTTTTACAAGTCATTATACTCCTACAAGTTTATGCCGCCTATCTTGAATTTGAGGTTAATTAAGTCCCTGCCAACTTGTATGGTGTGGAAACCAGGGGTTAAGTAGGAGCTCACACGGCCACTAGAAGAGCCTTAAGCAGACTAGGGGGTTTCAGCAGGGGGCTCTGCAGGAGAATACTCGAAAGGTTTTGAGTAGTGGGATCTGGCCGATAGGAGTAATTTATAGACTGTCAGTGAAATTTCATGACCGCATTCAAAACTGTGAATCATAGATTTTGTCTTTTGCAACTGCCATATATCTATGGACCGTCGCCCACACCCAGTCTATCATATATCGTTCACAGGAGCAGTATACGATAAAACCCCCCCATGCATTTAATATCTCAATCTAAATATATATAATTCCAACCTTCCAGACTCTATTTTTCCCAATGGTAAAATAAGGGAGAGAAACCTTTATCCAAAAACTTAGATGTAAAAGGTCACTCCCCTCCTCCCTCCTCCCCAGCGTAAGCCGCTCCAAAAACCGGCTTCCCAACCCCTTCCCCACTAGAAAACGTCAAATGCCTCACCCCAGATTCGATACAATTCCCACATCCCCCCAGCGTGCCTTCTTTCCTATAATCACATCTGAGTGCTCCCATGAATGACATGCCGCAGAAATCGCCGCGGAGCAGTTCCCAACAATAGTAGCCTCCGCGGCAAACTGCCTATGCCCCATCCCGGCCGCAGTCAGCAGGGCAAGAATCCCCAGCATGAGGACGAAAATGATGGCAATGCAGGAGTACCCCACGGTACTTGCTGTTACTGGAGTCTCCCTCCCGAGTGGGTCCGATACCTCGATTCTCGCAAAGAATATTGACTGCGAGATTAGCCAGTGGAGCAGGCCGCTCATGGCCATCAGAGGTATGGCGTAGGTGTAAGGTATTTGAAGCCAGTATGTGGAGCGCTGGCCTGGGATCGGGGATGTAACGCGGAGGGTGCGGTGGTGGTGACTGAAGAGGGACCATTCATGGCCCGAGAGCATGCAGGTGAAGAGGGAGTTATGGGTTAAATAGAGGAATGAGAGGATTGTTTGTGGAAGGTTAGCCAGGAGAATTGCCTGGGTTATGTTTCCGAAGTGGATGGTGAGTAACGAGGCAGCGTTTGCTTTCCCAAAGCCTCTAGTCCACCTGTTTTGTCTTTTTCTTAATATTTTTCCCGGGGGAGTATCAGGAGAGTGATGACTCACATTGATTTAATGTCGGTGCTCAGGTACTTCCCGCTATGAACGATCCCCATTCGAAGTAACACCCCGGTGACAATGATAGCTATTGAACAGAGGAAGTTACAAGTTATCCACCTCGTCTTACTAACGCTAGTCCGCCACCTCTGCACCCCTTCTTGCTTCCATTGCCTTGGCCCTGTCCTCCCGCGCCCCCACTCCCTCCTTATAAACTGCCGATTGGCAAAGCGTATCCCTCTTGTCGTCGAGTCCGGGATTCTCAAAAAGGAGTCCACAGCATCACCCAACGTAACCAGAGTCGGCCCTTGAGATCTAACCATCGCCACAATCATACTAGCAGCCTTAACCAAATTGCAGCAGGTAACGGCGATCGTTATTCCTAGGGAAAACTGCACCTTGCACTTCTCTGGCTTGGATGTCTTCTCGCTCTTGCATCCACTTATCTCCACCTCGCCACCCGTTGGGAGCAGTAACCGCCACGGAGCCCCGTTAGTCACACTTGAGACTAGGTCGTTGGGGTTGCACGTGTGACCTAGCCGACGGTAACTTCCGCCCGGAGGGGCCATGTCGTAATCGCACATCCAACTACTTGGCGATATGCCATCGACGGGGACAAGGTTAATATTTAGGAGGGTGTTATTGTGCGTAGAATTGGAACGATTCTTGGTGATCAGGAATAGATTCCTGTGGCTAGACATAAAGTCGGTGTTATAGAGTTTTGCGCAGTCACGAGGTGTCAAGTCTTCATAACCATCGGGGCTGGTATTGTATCCCTCGAGCACCCTGCTGAACAGCTCAACCTCTCCATCCCTCATCATTCGTGTGCGATTGGGGGTGTTGTATAACTCTTGGTAGTACAGGGAAAACGCCTCTGTCATATTCGAATGGGCCGCTTGTTCAAAGTAGTTGCTGGTCACGAGAGTTATTACGAAATCGTTCGCCGCTATCGAATTATATACTGCAGAATTATACCTGTAATTTTCTGGTTAACCTTCCGGCTAGGATATGGGAGGGAGTGGTAATGTAAACATACAGCAAATGGAGTGGGATACTCGTAATCCCAATCGTAAGCCACAACAACGTCCTCTCCCGCTTAATCCTGAGCAAATTCCTAACACTCGGAACACCAATATCCATCTATCGCCTCACCGCATGCGCTGCGTCAACCTCGCTGCGTGTCGGTGCTGCTAGACATTGTTGAGTATAATTACTCCCGGACAATAGAAGTGTGGAAAGGAAGTTTATCCCTAGGTGCAGCCACATTCCGATCGTCCTACTCTTGTCACAACTACCCAAATACAACGTCCCAACGCCTCCTTCCATCTTGTGGTCTGGATTCACAGCAGCGTAGATCGTTGAACTGATGTTTATAAACAGAACAACCATGACGGAAGTGGCACAATATAAGACACAGGTATGCCAACCCGTGTACAAGGCCGGGTTCAATATTGGCGATAAGGAGTTCGCCCATTCTCGAGTGTACCAGGGCCCTAGAGTCAATAATCCTATTGAAGTGGATTTCCTTCCCCCTCCTCTCCGGTCCCTATTGTCATCTGGCGACACAACCATCCATTCCCCTAACTTATTTCTGAACTTCAACATTCTCTCAACAGCGACCCAACAGACAGACGCTGACCTGTCCGCTGCCTTGTGGAAAAAAAGTGAGACATTCTGAGGATCACGAGAGGCTGTGGGGGGGGGGGAGTTCTCTATTTAAGGTTATCTCAAACTCCTATTAAGGGCAAGGATGGGCACTTTAGGCGACCTTACCGCTAAAATATATTTTGACAATTTGCACCGGTATGTACTGTATTCGGTATTAATCTTCTCATAATAGGAAGGCGCAAGATTATTCCTGATCAGTAGGTTTTAGATTAATACTGTAGTGATGGGAGATTTCTGCGCACCTGCACGTGAGGGTTTTTCCCTCTTATTACCTACCACTCATAGAAGGATCGGAAGGGTGATAGGATTCCCGCCAAAATGTGGGAAGGAATGCCTTGTTGGGGAAATGCCCTCTAGCAGAGAAGAGAAGAGTTTCCAGGCAATCTTGAGTAAGTTAACGTCCTCGGCCGATTCGTGGGGATGTTTACTATATAGAAAAAATGTGTCTTTATTTCCGCCCTTTTTCCTTTCTTCCTCACTACTGCCATAAATCATACTATATATTAATTTGAGCAGCATAAACCCTAGGATTTAGGTACTACAAGATAAGTTATATATTATCCTATTTTGGAAGGGTTTGCCGTTACCCTCCTAAGTGGCAGCGTGTTTTCCAGCAGAGTCTCGGCCAAATTTGGTTATGATGACAACTTAATGGTATGGAATATTTTTTGTAAATTCCGCCAACCGAACAGACCGAAAATATAGAACAGCGTTTGATCTGGAAAATAGGATAGCCTGAATTAAAAGTGGTGTTGCCGAAAGATAAAACACCATCACAGCCCTAAATAGTATTGACATATGTTTTGTAAGATAGACCTCCTAGCTCGGAGCGAGCATTAGTTGAGATGTCTGCTGCGATGCTATCATCATGGACATTCCATTTTAGTGGGTATCGGATCGCTTTTCGGTAGCATAATTGGGTGGCAAAAATGCGTAAGGGCTGTTTGAACAGTGAGTAGTCTTATAAAGTAGGGATACCGTGACGCGTTTCTTCAAGCTTTGGTGATAGTGATACTACGGTGAGGAATTTTAAATGAAAAGCGCTGGTGCCATAGAGTACAGTACAAGTGCGGCCTCCCAAGGCTAAATCGCATGCGGGAGACGTAACCTCCAAACGGGCCACGAGCTACTCCCCCACTCTTTGGATAAGAGGCAAGAACCATGTCCTGGAACATCGCGCGATTAGGAACGGACCGCAGAAATAATCCAGGATACATGTACGGTACGGTACCGTGTTAAGGGCAAGGTCCGAGGCGATCGGACCAAGCGCTTGTCTAAGCACAGCCCAAACACCGACACCTAGATACTGATAGTCGTAAGAAATGGTGTCATACTCCTTCGGTAGTACCTTGCCACCGCTGCTCTCTGCATCACCTAGCCCAGAAGCTCCGGTGGGTGCATCGTAGGAATTCATCAATCTCAATGGGAGCTGAGCAATAATTTATTCACTCGATATTCCTTCGAACCATGACCATAAAATCCTGCAGTGCTATAGTACAAAATCGCCCTACTTGGTGTCAAGCAGGGGGACCCTCCATCCATAGTGTGCATCATCCTCAGATAAATCGGCATAATGTCGAGCATCCGATCATTCAGAACCCAAAACCCGCTGAAACCATATCAATAGCTTTGAATAAGGCGAATGAACTCTATCTTTAGGAGTCAAATATAACCTATATTATAGCAGGTTGTTGAGCTTGGATATTGTCAGATTTCCTAAAGGGGGCAAAAAAGGCAATTTTGTTACTACCGGTAAAACTCATGTTCTGTTGTCCTCCAGGTATAAGTTAACATCCAATTCTCCATTTGCGATTTGCCGCTGAAAAACCCCGATTCAACAGGATCGCCGTATTTTAATCCACCCGATTCCAATCGCCCTGCGCGCTACTACATTGAAGCTCTACCCTCAACGCTTAATAATGGCTGTCTGCATTCCCTCTAGCCGACCCAACATATAGTGAGACTCATTGTTAGACCCCAGGGTATGGTAATGTCTCATTAGGGATCCACCCACAGCCTCAATTATCCCCACATTTCGGAATTTTGCTTCCTCATTGAGCCCGGGGGATGGGTTGGGTGCACACTGCCAACTAACGGGGGATGGATTAACTAGGGAAGTGCTGCGCTGATTGCAGTGCATGGCGGCGTGAGGCTTCAAAGTCAAAATACTTGAGGGCTCCCCGTACTCGTGTTGAAGCGCGTTTTCCGTAGCGAGTGGAGCATATAGGAATATATAAAGCAAGCCAATGGGTTTTTCAGGTGCTCCTGAGATCTTGGTACTTGAAACAAGTACGAGTAGAGGGCTATTTCCTATATGCTAATTGAGCCTCAGAAACTACTGAAACAGTCAAGTAGCCGTTGTGACACTTCTAATCGGGTGCCAGCCAGATACCGGTATTAGGATAAGATAAGGAAAATGAGAAGACGTTTTTGAAATACTCGTAGGCAACAACTAGAGCGCATGTGCAGTACTGTACAATACCCGAAAACAGGGATTCACATCTGACGAAAAATTCATACAAGTGCATATCGGAGCACCTATACAAATCCGTGACCCCTGTTGCCCTATACTGGTATGGTACATCCGAGCGTAAGGACGATCCGCTACAGGGATAAGCTGGCCAATGGCCACCGCATACTCGTACAATCACTCAGCATAAACTGCCAGCTACCTTCTTTCTCTCTCCCCCACCATAGAATCTTTTCCCGTTCAAATCCTTGAAGTCCTTACAACGAAGGTTCTCCAAGGTTTGTCCGGGTAGGCTTTAATTTCTCGCGTCCTCTTTGCTATCACACGCCTTTTTATTCCCAGTCTATCTCTCTCTGCTCTAGGATACCGTTTTGGGGAGAAAAATGTTGAAGCTTCTAGATCGACGTTGGTCGATTGAGATATATTGTGGAAGTTTCGGGAGTCTGGCGAAGAGTTCCGATGTTCGATAGATCAGTGTGGAGGTTGAGAGATTGATGGGAGATTCTCCGGACATGTCTTTCCTTTGTTATCATGGGAGTGTATGGAGGAAAGGGTAGCATGCTTGGAGAGATACGGATAGGTGTGGTGATTCATGGAATGATGGGGATACGTTGTTTATGTTTTACTTATACACTTGTCTTTACCATTAGTTTAGAGGAAAGAGAGCGAAGCTGTTTTTACCTTACCATACGCTTTTGTGCACGTCCTACTACCACAGCCCCCTCCTAGTCCTTTAGTGTTTTTCCCACCGCTGCGCAAGTCAGTCGATGACTGTTATACTCCTCCGTCATAAGAAAAAACACACTGAGTGCTAACTGCCGCAAGTGGTATCTCTTGTGCCCAAGAGCCTGTTTGACTATAGAGGTCCGTCTAACGGCTGGGGACGGTGCCGAGCGTCAGGGGGGCTTGACGGTTGGCGATATGCAGGGCAAATCGATGTAGGCGTGGGGTGGTGTTTGTAAAGGCGCTTCTAGAGCAACCTCCTCCAGCAATATCGACAAGTAATCGCCCGCCCGCAAATCACATGAAGTAGGATCACTAGTTCAAATATCATATCGAATTCACACTTTCTAAACAATATATGATGTTATATAATATGTATGTTTCTAGCAATACCACTTTCCAAAAAAAACCTTATTTGTAGTCCTATATGTTCAGACCCCATATGGTTCGCACATAGACAAATACGATAAAAACCCGTTCAATTTGCTACCTCCGTTGAGTCTCTAATCTCGGCATTGAGAGAGAAAGGTTCTTAGGCAGGATTACTGCTTCACTGACACTGTATAGCCTGAGTCATATGGCTATGTTAGATCTCATTAACTAGTTTTCGCAATTCCGTTAACTTGCGTAACTAAACCTATCTTGGGCTGATGTCGCGAGTTGGCAAGGGCGTTTGTGACCTGGCGGAAAATGCGAATCGAGCGAGTTTTTAAGGTATATTAGTCTTTGTAACGGTGAAAACTAAGGTAAACACTTTTGGAACAATCTGATGCAATGGGGGAGCCTTTTCCATAACATAATCTACATTCTGGCATACATTTCGGATACCATCTTTGGCCACGACATGCCACCCAAGATATTTTACATCGTAATGAACAGCAAACTATTCTAACAGTCTCTTTATTCCTTGGATAACCAAAATAAGTTTTCTTTTTTTTTTAAAAAAAAAAAAAGGCCATAAATAACTTGAAGCCTGTAGATACTTTCCCGATATTTCCAACAATTTTTAAGGATGGACTGAGACCTGTTGTAAAGGTTTTCGCGATCCCCCAGAAATTTGGGGCGCAACCTGCCACCCAATATGTACCAGTTTTAGGCAAGGGCGGATCAACATACAGAAGCTCCCCCTAACTGTGAAAAAAAAAAAAACCCTGACAGTTCATTAGATTTGTCTTTCCTTTCTTCGGTTCATTTTTGAACCTTTCTTTACTCTTTCATGAGGGAGCGAAGTAATTATTTGCAAGGGTTTACTTTGTTGTTGGTATGATGCATTTCCCGG